GTTCGGATGAAGTGGGAACCTGGGCCACGTGGGTCTGAGCCTGGAGTCAGTCCTCGGAGGCAGGTCTGCCCGCCTCTTGCTCTCTGGAGGCCACCCCCTGGGTGCTCAGCCTATCCCTAGGGAGAGGGGAAGGGCACCCAGTCTGCGGCATGGCTGAGGGAGCTGAGTGCCAGGTGCCAAGCGAGGTGCCATCACGTGGCCCCTCTGCCTCCCATGCCTCTTCAAGCCCATGGTCCCTGCACGTGACAGGCTCATTCACCCACTTGCAGCGCATGCGCATGGAGCCCCTCCCTGCGGCAGGCATTGCTCTGGGCGAGGTGGGAGCAGGCACAGGATGGACACATTCTTTCCTTATTTTTATACTTATTTGTTTCTTATTATTTTTAAAATATATTCTTATTGATGTCGGAGAGGAAGGGAGAGGGAGAGGGAGATAGAAACATCAATGATGAGAGAGAATCATTGACTGGCTGCCTCCTGCACACCCCCTACTGGGATCGAGCCTGCAATGCGTGCATGCGTCCTGACCGGGAACCCTTCAGTGCACAGTCCAACGCGCTATCCACTGTGCAACACTGGCCAGGGCGAGGCAGACAAATTCTTGCCCATATGGAGAGTACCTTCTATTGGAGGAGACATCTAGCAAACAGAATAGAGAGGAACATTCTGTTGTATCAGAGAACAGGGTCAGTGTTACGGAGAGAAAGGACCATGGGCAGGGAGGCAGGTGGTGCTGGCCGGGCCTCTTGGGGAGGGCGGCAGAGGGCGAGGGCATCAGAAGGAGGAGGGAGGAGGCTGTGAGGTCTTGGGGAGGAGAGTCCCAGCATTGGGTGGAGTGAGGACGAGTCAGATTAGGCCAGACTCTGGGGGGCCATGTGAGGGTAGGGAGCGGCTTCTCTCTGCGGGCTCCGTGCGGGAGGCTCAGTCCTGGAGCAGGTCCCTCTGCTGCTGGGCCCAGAGCAGATGGTGGCCGGTCAGGGGCTGTGACCGACACCCTCACCAGATGTCCAGATAGCCGTGGTGGCCAGAGGTCGGCTTCCAGAATTGTCTTGGAGTTAGAGCATTGGGGTTCTCAGGGGGCGTGGAGATGGCGTGAGGGACAGAGGGATTGAGGATGCACAAGATTCTGGTCGGAGCAGCTGGAGAGATGGGAGAGGCTGTGGGTGGGGCAGGTGATGAAGCCAGGAGGTCACTCTCCAGAGGAGAGACAGGCGAGGGGTTCCGTGACCTGCTCAGGGCCACCAGCCGGGAGTGACCCCGAGACCTGCAGTTGGAAGCCGGGCGGACTCCCCAGTTCTCCCGCCATGGGAGCCACAGGGAATCTTAACGTTCTCTGCTCAGGGAAAAGCCCAGAGAGGGGCCACGCTTCTCACGTGGGCTCGGGGGTCTGAGTCTGAATTCTTCAGAACCTGGGCCTGTGGGAGGACGCGTGTGGGGAGGGGAGAGGACCTGGGGCTCCTTTGGGTGGCCCCTATGTCCCAGCTTCTCTGCTCCATCCCTAAAGCGTGGCCCTGGGAGGGGGGAGGGTAGGAGCACAGGTGGACATCCCAGATACAGGGGTTGGAGGCTGTGTCGGCCTTGGACGGTTACTGTGCTCGGCTCCAGGTGACCCCACGCCCCTGTCTGCCCCCCCCCCGCCCCCCCGGCAGTGGAGGAAGTGGACAACACGCTGACACTCATCATCCTGTCGGTGGTGGGCGGCGTCGTTGGGCTCGTGGTCCTTATCCTGCTGATCAAGAAGCTAGTCACCTTCATCCTCAAGAAGACCCAGGAAAAGAAGTAAGTGGCTCCATTGCCGCCTGTCCCCCAACCCACCCGCCCAGGGGTGCCCCAGCATCCTCCAGGGCCACTGTCCTCCCCCTTCCATCACTCTCCTCCTTCCATCCGCCCTCCCCCTTCCATCGCCCTCCTCCTTCCATCTGCTCATTTCATGCCGCCTCCCTAGCCCCACCAGGCGCTCCCCGCTCCCGCACTAACCGCTCCCTCTTCCCTGCCACCAGGAGGTTTCTGTGGCAGCTGCTCAGTTCCCTGAGGGCAGGAGTGCAGCCTTGGGCTCCTCACCCCACTGTCTTCTGCCCACCCTGTTAGCCTCCCTCTTTCTACTTGTGTTGCCCTAACCCAAGGCTCTAGTCAAGGGTTTAGGAGCCCCACCCTTTTCAAGTCGGAGAAAAGGTAAGAGTCCATGTGCAGAAGCTGCAGGGGGGAGACCTTCTAGGGAGATGGGAGTGTTCCTGGGAGATTCTGAAAATCCCCTGGGAGACAAAGAAATCCACAGGGGCAGGTGCTGCCCCTGGAGGCCCATAGGGAAGGGCGATGTCTTCCCCCCTGTTTCTCCCCCAGGGCCTCCTGCCACCCCCCCAGGCCAGAGTCGCCTGCTCCTTCCACTGCTGGGGGCAGGGAGCAGGGACTGCTGGGTCCCCTCCACGCACACTGCCCGCCCCGGGTGGGCACAGCCTGGGAGGACCTGGTTACATTGCCTCAGCACTGCACCTGGGGACGGGGCCTGACAGCTGCCTCCTGCCATGTTCAGGCGCCTGGTGAGGGCCTTCCCCGGGCAGGCACTCACAGGCTCTTACTGCCGCCACAGAGAAGGGGC